CTATGTTTATTTATGTTTTTCCACCATCAGAAAAACTCCGAAATTTTCTTTCCGAGGATCCCCAGGGTTAGGGATTACTTATGCGCTGCGACGTTTCTTACGGCGAAGGGGATCTTTTATATATACAATCTGCAAACCACACTGCACTTTTGTGTACTTTTGGGGGAAACCTAGCAACCGGAAGCTGGAAAGCTGCTCCAATGAGGATGGACCTCTATTTCTGCTCTGTTAGAGGGCTTGTATACGTAGGTGATAAAAAACTATTTAGTGCGTGCTATTAAGGATTATTTTTCTGGTACATGCACTGCATTCTTATTATTGTTCGGGGTGGTTTGTCGTTAGATGGACTTTGGATGAGGTTTATGGCGGAAATTATTGAAACAAAGAGCTCAGCCACGCGAGGGAAGAAAAAATTGGGGTCTTTTCCTTTTCTTTTGTGCAACGTAAAAAAAAAAAAGAGGGATTTTTTTGTTGTTGTTGGTAGTGAAAAAGCAAAACATAAAAGTAAAATAGTGCGTTATTGCTTTCTTCTTTTATAAGATAAAGTTGGTTTGAACAGGAAGAATTTTTTTATTTCTTTTGACTTAAGAAAAAAATGCTATCGCGTTTGTTTTCTTAATTTCTAATTTCACGGTAATACTAAAAGTGAATATAAATACTAAAAGTGAATATTTTTTAACAAAAATGTTTGATGCGCCTAACTTAAATTCATGCATAAAACATTTGAATTCAAGATTTGGTTTGTTTTAAAGTTAGAAGGCGCTTTGGTTAAATTATTAGTTTCAAACTCCTTTGTAATTGTTGATATTTGTAATATACCTTTCTCTATTAAATATAGCCGTTTCATCCTGTATGGAGAGAAGGTTTTTGAGAACAAGTGGAATTCCCTGTTGAAAAAGGCGACACGATTTCCCAATTCCTTACCTAGAGATGTCGTCGTAGCCTGCTTTAGACTTTGTCACTGGCCATGGCTATTTATAGAGTCCCCTGTATAAAATAGGACTGGCTGCTACAGATATCTTCCCTTTTTGCTTCCCTTTCCCTTTTTGTACCTGTACAAAATTTTCTTTTGTTTTAAATTAAAAACATGATATTAGAACAGAATATTTAAAAATGCTGCAGTTGTTACAAAAATTAACAATGATGTTGTTAAGACACTTTTTTTTTGCCTATGTCTGTCTCCGATGTCTCGGTCATTAGTCGGCTAGCAGCGCAATGCAGTGAAGAACGACAAAAACAATTTAAAGACATTGACATAAACACAAAAATAAGATAGAGTTAAGAACAGTAGGGCATAGGATGAGGTGCTCTCCAGTCATGGGCACGCCGTAGTACCAAAGGGAGCATATATCTTATTCTATACAGGTGGCTCTGTAAGTAGTCATGTCGTGTGGCAAATCTAAAGCAGGTCATGTCGACCACTCTAGGAAAGGAAATGGAATTCTTGTTGATTTATTCAATAGGAAATTTCACTTTTTATCAAAAGCCTTCTCTTTATACAGGATGGATATATTTAATAGAGAAAGGTTTATATCGCCTTATATGCGGCAACGGCAAAGGCAAAGGATCATTAGATTCCATCATTTGTGCCACATAGTATATATTAAAGTTATATATTGTTATAATATAATATTCACTTTCTTTTCAATTTTAATTACGCTTGTGTCTATTTGTTTTTGTAAATTATCTTATTATTAAAAAAAAACCTGATTAAAGAAAAAAGTGATAACAATTGAATTTGCGTATAAAAAGAAATCTTTCGATATCTTCTACCCATCAAACAAACATTACGCCATATTTTTTTTTTTATTTAAAAAAAATTTTCATCACTAAATCTTCGTATAAGAAATAAAATAGAATAAAAACTTAAACATTCTAAAACGTGGCAGACAGGAAATCATTTACTGCGTGGCATCCCAAAAGCAAACAAACACAATGGCAATCGCACCTTCTTTTTGCTTTCCTTTAGCATCCTATGTTTATTTATGTTTTTCCACCGTCAGAAAAAACCCTGAATATTCTTTCCGATGATCCCCAGGGTTGGGGATTACTTATGCACTGCGACGTTTCTTACGGAGAAGGGGATCTTTTGTATATACAATCTGCAAACCACACTGCACTTTTGTGTACTTTTGGGGGAAACTGTCGCCTAGCAACCACCGGAAGCCGGAAAGCTGCTCCAATGAGGATGGACCTCTATTTCTGCTCTGTTATAGGGCTTGTATACGTAGGTGATAGAAAACTTTTTAGTGCGTGCTATTAAGGATTATTTTTCTGGTACATGCACTGCATTCTTATTATTGTTTGGGGTAGTTTGTCATTAGATGGACTTGGATAAGGTTTATAGCGGCAATTATTGAAACAAAGAGCTTAGCAACGCAAGAGGGAAAAAAAAGTCTTTTCTTTTTCTTTTGTGCAACGGAAAAAAAAAAAAAAAAAATTTTTTTGTTGGTGGTGGTAATGAAAAAGCAAAACATAAAAATAAGATAGTGCGTTATTGCTTTCTTCTTTTATAAGATAAAGTTGGCTGAATAGGAAGAAATTTTTTATTTCTTTTGACGTTCATTGTGAAAAAAAAAATAACTATCGCATTTGTTTTCTTAATTTCTAATTTCACGGTACATAAATACTGAAAGTGAATATTTTTTTTTAAGGAAAATTTGTGTGCCTAACTGAAATTTATGCATAAAACATTTGAATTCAAGATTTGGTTTGTTTTGAAATTAGAAGTCATTTTGGTTAGTTTATTTAGTATTGTAATTATTAGTTTCAAATTCCTTTAATAATTGTTGATATCTGTATAACATTTTTTAATACATTAAATTAAAAACGTCACATTAGAACTGAATATTTTACAAATATTACAGTTGTCCCAAAAGTTTCACAAAAATTGTTGTTGATATTTTTTTTGTCCTATGCCCATCTCCGACTGCTCTCGGTCATTAGTCGACGAGCAGCCCAATACAGTAAAGTATGTCAAAAACAATTACAAAACAATCAACGCCAAAAGCAATCTAAAGACATTGACAGTAAGTCAAAAAGCGATACAAGTAAGAACACTAGGGTATATGATGAGGGCTCTCCAGTCATGGGCTCGCCATAGACGCAAAAAGGGCATATATCTGTAGTAGTCAGTCCTATTCTATACAAGTAACTCTATAAGTGGTCATGGCCAGTGGCAAGTCTGAAGCAGGCCACGCCGACGCTCATGCAAGAAATTGGGAAATCTTGTAAACTTATTTAACAGGGGAATTCCACTTTTTCTCTGAAGCCTTCTCTCTATACAGGGTGAAACAGTTGGATTCAATAGAGAAAGATATATATCGCGTTATATGACGCAAAGGCAAAAGCGGATCAGGTTGCATCATTTGTGATCCATTCTTGGCCTATATATGAGCCTGTTCCTTTCCATATATCCCGCAATGGCTTAGAATCCACTGCAGAGCAATGAATTCTTGGTGTTCAACAGCTTATCCATCATTACCATGCAGTTTCTAGAAATCTCACATTCACAGTGATTGGGAGTAGCCAAGGTCAAAATTGCCGGTCTGGAATCAAGACAAAAGACGATTTCTTTTTCACATTGATATTGGGTAGTTAAAAGAATATTGTGAATAATTATTTAATATTGATTAACATAATTTAAAGTTACTTAAATAATATTTATATCTGTTAATTTTGTTCTATTTGAGAGAACCTTTTCAATTTATAAATGTTTATTTCAGATAATTTAGTAAATATTTATTGTTATGCTAACAATTATGCAGGTAACCTACTCTCTAAAATTACAATTATCTTTTCAATGGTCTATGTTTTTTGAACTTAAGAATTGATTAAATATGAATATCAGAACTTTTGCATTAAAATTTCTTTTTATCCCTTTTTTTATGGTATATACCTTCATAAAAAATTGTGTTTGCTTTTTTTTCAATAAAATAATATTCAATTGAGTTTTTGTTTAATAAAAACGCTCTTATTTTAAAAGATAAATTAATTTAAAAAAACCTTTAATGTCATTATAACAATTAACTTCAGAAATTCTCATTTCCCACTCCGAAACACAAACTCGCAATTCAAAGAATTGCAATTATTTTAAGTGACTAGTTTCTTCTCACTGTCATTGATTAAAAAAATCGATTTGCAGACCCTAAAAAAGAAATCTAATCCCCCCTTTTTTTATGTATAAAATGTTAAATTGCAAAACAATAATCACTTTCATCGGAATTAAAGAAATAAGCATCATAATTGATTTTCAGAATGGCTGCTTTCTCACGATGTTGGAAATGAAACCATCAATTAGAAGAGAAAGGGAGAGAAGGAAGTAGTTTCAAATGCTTTAAGAAAAAGAAAGCTTCAATAAAGATAAATATGCATGATATGGCTTATTGTATACTTATGCTAATGGATCTGTTGAGATTTATGGAAGAACTCGAAATCACCCACAAGATGGTTTTTAGTGAAGATGGATTTTCTTTATAAAAATAACCATTGGATTCCATTATTGAGTTACCTCAGTTAGCACTAAATAGGGCGCATTGACTGCAATATCTATCATAAGATATAGATAGAATTTTTATCATTTTCTTTTTTTATCGTTCACCAGTATGTTAGAGATGTTTTAAATTACAGCATATGAATACGCTAAGTACATGACGTTTGGATGAGGAAACTGCGAAGCTTATTGGCCATTTTATAAAGGGCTCACACTTCATAGAGTTAATGTAATTAGGTATTGCAACTCTTCTTTTTAGTATAAATGCAACATTTGAATGTATAAAATACATTACGTTTGGATTATGAAACAGATGCTAATTGGCCTCTTTATAAGGGGATCATACTTCGTAGAGTTAAAGTAATTAGGTATTGCAACTCTTCTTATAGTATATAATTCTAACTAATTCATCTTTAATGTTCAATGATTTGTATAATAATTTATTTGCATTCTGATATTGGAGAGAGCTGATATTGGTTGTTACTACCTGAATATAAATCAAAACGCCAACGGCCGTACCATGCTGAATATACCGGTTCTCGTTAGATCACCGAAGTCAAGCATCATTGGGCGCGGTCAGTACTTGGGTGGGTGACCACCTGGGAACACTGCGTGCCATTGGCAAATTTGGGACCTGAATGACCGAGTGTCTAGCGCTCTGGCGCTCGGTACCACAGATTTCGGGTTCGAATCCCGGCGGTGGCATGGATGTTTGTAGTGGTTCGGAATCCACTTTAAGCCGTAGGTCCCGGTCTCCTATGACTGTAAGAGCGTCACGGAGCAAAAGTCAGCCTTCTACCTACGGGTGCTCCATCACAACAGAAGCTGCTTCCTTCCCCTTCAATCATGGGCACGTATGGGCTTGTGGGCTTGGTCAGCCAAGTGGGATAAGTAACAACAAACAACATATAAATCAAACATTTCAGGTTTGGCATTTGGGTATTTGCATAATTATCTCTCATCCTTAAACTGAAGAGAATATTTTTATGTCCTGATGAATTGTGCTCATTTCTAGATTAAATACGGGAAATTCAGCTAGATTGTTGGACTTCATGAAAACAAAGTTTAGAGACTTATCACACTAACCACCAGCTGTTATGGTTTCTATAATGTTTCATTTGCAGTCTGATATTGTTTAAGGGTTTTATTATGTCTTGAATAAATTATTCTTTAGATGACACGGCAAAACTGGTGGACAGATGAGTAACATAATTGTTAAATTCTTACTTTCATTTAATATACACCATCATTTAATATGTATTATTCTGAACTTGTTAAAATTTTATTTATTCAAAAGCCGAACCTTTTAACCTGAAGTACAAATCATATGTACTAAATATGTACTAGATAGATATGAAATCAAATGTACAAATTTGGTCAACTACTGTAATTTTTTTGCACACTGTGGGCTAATTAGACCGGGACATACAGTTTAACATGGATTCCGAGCCACTCACAAACATCCATGCCACCGTCAGGATTCGAATCTGAAGCCTGTAGTACCGAAGACTGGAGCACTACCAATTGGATATCAAGCCGCCAAATATACTAACAAAAAATACCAGCTGTTCTGATTTGCATAATAATTTATTTGCATTCTGATATTGTTTAAGAGTCTTACTATTGTCTGGGATAAATGATTTTTTTACATTCACTCATAGTATACTAGCACAATTTGGGGCTATTATACACGATGTTCGCAGATCTCCAAAGTTTCCTCCCTTACTCTTCGAGTGTTACGGAACAATTTTCTGGCCTACGAATTTATAACCTCTAATCAGCAAGGGCATGGAAACTGTGCGTTGGATTTTGCTTGATTGTTTTCGAATAAGACTTTAATAATTCGAAACACAACTTGGTAGCCACCAGAGGATTCAACTCTATAAATTCTGATGTCCAATTTAACAAATGAAACTAAAATAATTCCGAATCTTATGAAACTTTATGAATTAAGATAAATATTTTTAAGATAAGCTAATATAATTTTTTCAAAACATAGTCATTAGAGATTAACTAACTTCCCTTCCCTACAGTTTATGTTGGATCATAGCCATCTGCTTACTGGTAGATTCTGAAACGGGAGATGCTTTCTTTAACGGGTAGGACTATAAACCCTAAGCCCACCAGTCATATTATACCGAGACCTACGTTTTAGAGTTGATTCCGAACCACTGCAAGCATCCATGGCCCCAACTGGACTCGAATTCGAAACTTGTGGCCCCGAAAGCCATAGCGTAAGTCACCCGGCCATTAGGCCCATTGGAGATTTACATGCCATAATAATCATAATTATTAGCCAATGTAAATATCTTTGATCTTGTTTCTTTTTAGATTGTATTTTAAATATTATTAAATAAAATATTACTTATTTATAAATTATTAAATAAAATAATACTTTGTCGCTCATAAAAATGATCGACTCATCATATTTTATGTGTGGTCGTTTGGACACTCTGCTCTGTGAGATAATGATAATGTGAAATGTGTTCACATGATAATGTGTAGCATTTTGTAAATATAATAATATATTATCATGTGCATATGTGTAGGCGAGACAGCAATAACATTAAAAAAATTAGTTTTCTAGCGTTCATAAATTTCATCAGTCACCTTAAACCCAGAAAATAAGTTTAATAAATAGAAAATAATCATCATTGTAAATTAAAAAATGTATTGCTTTCTTATATAAGTTTTCAAATTCGAAGACTTTAAAATGTAATTATTATCTCATCATTACGACAACAACAAAAAATTCTCGTTATTTTACATAAATTTAATTTCTTAAGCTCAGATAAGAATATTCATTCATCATTCTTAAAAGATTCCTATTTATTTATTATTCATATTATATTCCTTGATGAAATAATAGAAAATGTTTTAATAAGGATTTTTTTTGTTGAAGAAAAATCTTTCGAAAATAATATTCAAGTTGAGATTTTAATTTGCTGAGAGGTTTTTTCTTGTTTGATTTAAAAACATATGTTTAGTTTTAAGGAAATATATAAATCACGCTTAAAAATTATAGAAGCACTTTTCAGAAAGTTTCTCTTAAAAAAAGAAAAAAGGGAACCTTTTTAAGAACAAAGCGCTGAATTGAATAAGTAATTTATTTTTTAAATATTCAAATTTGTATGATGAAAACGTGAAAAGTTAATTTTTATACTAATGCATGCTATTATTTTATGGCTTGTAATCCTTAAAAAAAATAACTGTCTACTGTTTTTATATTTAATAATTTTTTATTGCAACTAATGATTTTAATGACAGACACCAAGATCATTTATAATCTTAAAAGTCCAACTCGTGGCTCAGTGGCAACGCGTGGCGATGGTGGGCATTAGGGAGAGGTTCAATCTGCTAGCTTCTTTGTTGTAGACACTGTTTCGAAAAAAGAAAAAAAAAAGAGGAGGCATCTTGCCTCGCTAGTCGGCCTACCTGGTAGGAGTTTTCCTGTTTTTTCCCCATATGATACGTAAATGCGGGTAGTTCCCCGTAAGAATGTCCCAAAAGGCTCTTCCCTTCCTCTTCAGCATCATGAAGCCAAGTCAGGCTTTTAGAGTTTTACGGGTGCTCCATCACAACAGAAGCAGTCCCTCATTCCATGAAACCACACGGGTTCTTGGACTTGTTCTAAATGTTTCTGTCTATCCATTGAGATAAGAACATATAATCTTGGATTCGCCTTTATTATTTTGAATTCACAGCAACAACAACTAATTATTGTATAAAAGCAGCATTAGCCTTTTTCCTTTTTGTCATAATTTTACCTACGGGTGTACCATCACAACAGAATCAGTCCCTCCTACCATGAGACCACACGGATTTTTGAACTTGTTCTAGATGTTGCTGAGTACTAAGTGGGATAGGAAAAAAAATATATAAATAATTTAAAAAAGGATTCACATATATTATTTTGAATTTATATCATCATCGACTATTTATTGTATAAAAGAAGCACTAATTTATATAGAATATAACGTATTAATAACGACAGTGCCCTCCGTCTTCAGAGTCGCAGAGCCAAGTGAGACCTTTACCTACTTGGGCTCCTTTACTTACGGGGGCTTTACCTACGGGGTACCCTCCTACGTACCTACTTTTTACCTACGGGGGCTCCATCACAACAGAAGAGTTCCCCTTTTCAACCTTCCATGAGACCACACGGGTTCTTGGACTTGGTCCAGTTGTGGACCTGTTCCATGCACCAAGTGGGGTAATAAAAAAGAAAGAAAAATAATTGTAAAAAGGATTCACATATATTATTTTGAATTTATATCATTATCGACTATTTATTGTATAAAAAAAGCACTAATTTATATAGAATATAACGTATTAATAACGACAGTGACATCCTTCTTCAGCGTCACAGAGCCAACTGAGACTTCTTACCTACGGGGGAGACTTACCTCCATCACAACAAAAGAGTTCCCCTTTCCCTCCTTCCATGAGACCACACCGGTTCTTGGACTTGATCCAGATGTTCCTGTTCCATGTACTAAGAAGTAGGATAAGAAGAAAAAAAGAACGAAAAATAATTTTAAAAAGGATTCACATATATTATTTTGAATTTACAGCAACAACAACTATTTGTTGTATAAACAAAATAGCCCTATGTATGCAGAATATAACTGGAATAATATCACTTACCATTTATTTATTTTTTATTTATTCTAAGGAGACTTCTCGCCAAGATTATTCAAGAAGGGGACACGTTACAGAAATAATATCTAATTTTCAAATTCTGTTGGCCATTTTCACAAATACTAGCATTCTTGTAATATCTAATTCAAGCTAATCCGCCGCTTAGTGTTCTTAAAAAGAGACATTTGGGAGCCATTCGCGAGAACCTGCAACGTTTATTACCTGATATCCGTTGCAGTTGCAGTTTTAGGATAAGCCCAAGAAAATGGGTCTTTGTAAAATGAAGCCCTAACAAGGAAACGCTTTATTGAAATGACTCGCATTTGCCTCGTAAAATTTGCAAGAAATATTAAATTGTTAATGGCAACAAGTTTTCGTTAAAATAATTGATTTTCTTACGGCATCAATTTTCGAGGCGATAGCTGACGTTATATTCACACATTTGATTAGAGCATATTTTGCCAAGGGAAAGTAATAAATCAGAACATAAATCATTAGACAGTAGCAGATATAATAGTAGAAATTTAGAAGCATTATTTTCAATTTTTATTCATAAAAGTTTTATTTGTTTCAATTTTTGTAAAATTTTTTCCTGACAAATCGTTATATTTTTCTATTTAAAATTTTTTAACGCGACAAAAAAGTTTAAAAATTTTAATATTTTTTTTATGTAATCTTCAATAATTAATTATTTATTCCTTTTCTCAAATTATCTTACTAACATCTAAATTTTTTGTCATTTTTTTTTTACGTGAGGAGAAATAAATTTACATTCATTTACGTACAGACAAAAAAAATCTATACTTACATGCACTTTTTTTTGGAAAACGGATTTATCATATGGTCTATTCTGTTTTGAAAAAGTTTATATGATTGGGTTAAAATGAAAAACTAATATTCAGTGTGTAGGTTGATCAACCAGATTGTAATTGGGTGTGTTGGGCTAAGATACTTCAAACACAGTTAGGAGTAGTAG